GAAAAATGCCAAACCATGAAGATGAGCTGGCAGAGCCGCCGCACCAAAAAATCCCGCAGTAAGCTTATGTTATTTGACTTTTTTCGACCAACTGAGACCCCTTAACGTATTTTTTTGCAGAGATGAGTACAAAATTGGTCGAAAATGGCCAGTCCGAGGTAAGCTGTCGCCACGGGCGACGATGCTGTTGTGCGAGAATTCTGAAATTGGCTGAAAAATGATTTTAACACTGGTTTTGAATTTTTTGGGGTATTTCTAAGTACTTGGAGCGTGTTTTAATCTCTGAATGAAATTTAGAGAACCCGAGGAATGCCAGTAGGCGCGGCTGAAAGTTTAGCATTTAGACACCGATTCAGGTTAGAATCCCTCACCTTATTCTTTGTTATGTAATTGAAGTCTAATTATAAATAATACGGTATTTTGCATAATTTAAAAAACTTCGATAACTAATTACAGGTTATTAATAGAGCTGAAACTGCTTATTTATTACTGTTTGTCATGTTTTAACTGATTGTTTAATTTTACAGTTTTAAATGCATGATAATACACTGGAATTGGTAATATGATTTAGTTGTGTTTCTTTTATGCATGTATTGCTTGTTTTGCGTGATTTATAGTTAAATTGTGAAATTGGAGATTAAATGTAAACGGAAAATTGTTTGATTAAGTGAATGAATGAATAGTAGCCTTATTGGATATCTTGGAAGATGGTGGATGGACCGGGTGCATAGGAAATTCTACCGTGAACGTTGCCTCATATTTGACGGGGTATCGAGAATTAGTATTTTGGTGTTCATACCGGACGGAATATGGGGACGGCCCGTTTCACCCTAATACCGGACGGGGTATTAAGGGATTGTATTTTTAGGGCTCATATTGGACAGAGTATGGGGACGGTTGGTTACTTGTAAATGTTGAATAAGGGTTCACGTGTAGTGGGGATATCCCAATGGACTCCCATGGATACCAGTAGGCGGATAAAAAGGAAAAGTTGTTATTCTGATTAATTGAATATAAGATTATAATATTGTTTGTGTTATTGCCTCTATAGGTTAGTTTTGGAAATTTCACTACGATAAGTGTACAATAAATGATTTTACTTATGATAAATGAATTTACTTAAATTAAGAGCTCTATTAGTTGTTTCATGATTTTTACCAACATTCATTATGTATCGGTGACTAGTGTGACATTCTTGCTGAGCTAGTGCGATTCATTCTTTCATTAACCATTTCATACCAAGATGATCAAGATCCAGATCTTGATCCACAAGAGGGTTACGAATAGGATGTTCAGTTGTTTACTTTTCATTTATTTCTTTGATTTTTCATTGTTCTTTTAGAAGAGTCATTCTCATAACCCTATTGGGTATTCTGAATTATTGTGTAAGGAATGTAAACCCTAACGTTATTATTTCGCTTTCGCATTCGATTTATAATTTATTTTATTTTTAGTTCCGGGTCATTACAATTGGTATCAGAACTGCATTTCTTGGAACCATTCTTTACACAAAAACTTAAAAACACCAAATACGAACTATCGCTTACCCCTTCCTTTTGAAAAATAAGTCGAAAGACACGAATAGATGAGGTCCATTACTGAACATGGCAACCCAAAATGGTCACCTTGAGAGGATGTCAATCGACTTTTCGAGATTTTAAAGAGACTTATCTCTGCTCAGTGGGCCAGGAAAGTGAAGAGGGAACTATCTAACCTTTCATCACTTTAAAACTATGAGTCACCCCTATAACGAAAGGATTCAATGCCACCTTGAGGCAACCTTGCTCCTCCGTCATATCATCCGATACCGTCACAATATAATTCGGAGCCCCCACCGTATTATCTGACACCATTACAA